GTATTTTTGAGAGCGAGGGACTATAGTGATCGTGTTGCCATCATTGACTCGAATGGCTCTCACTCGTACGACCGTCTTCTGCGATTAAGTCAAAACATTGGAAGCAGCCTCTTGAAAAGAACTGGCAGAGCAGATCTCTCTGGACGATGTGTCGCCTTCCTTTATCCAAACGATGTGTCTTACGTGGCTGCACAGTGGGCTATATGGAGAAATGGGGGAATCGCTGTTCCATTGTGTAATTCTCATCCTTCAGACATGTATGAGTATATGATTGAAGACTGCAACGCAAGCATAGTCATGTCATCCGAAGAATACGCTGCTAAACTGGAACCAATAGCTAAGAGAAAAGACGTTGAGTTGATGTTTCTGACAGATGTAAAACAGTATCACCAAAGTACACCAAGCGCAGATTTCACAGAAGTAGAAATATATGAGCAGTCTTGGGATCAACGTGATGCCATGATTATCTATACAAGTGGAACAACAGGACGACCAAAGGGAGTTCTAACAACTCATGGAAATTTGAGGTTTGTTATACCAGTTACCAGTAATTGTGAAGAACAGTTCCCCATAGAAACCTGTTGGCTGACTGTCGGCCAACTGTCAGCCATTTCTCAGCCATCTGTTGGCCGACAGTTGATTGACAGACAGCTTAGGTTTTGGCTAAAGCACANGACTGTCGGCCAACTGTCGGCCATTTCTCAGCCATCTGTTGGCCGACAGTTGATTGACAGACAGCTTAGGTTTTGGCTAAAGCACAAACCAACAGTCAGCTGACAGGCCAATAATTACCAGTTACCCAGCAATGAACCCAAACGGTACCAGGCACCTGAGTGCCAAAGCGGTTACCAATCTGGCCTGCAATTGGTTGGTGGTGATCTTTGAAAACTATGCACCTATATTGTGGCACACTTTAGTTGCTCAGATGTATGCAGACACTTAAGTGGAGATTAGGTGATTCCTCAGGGGGAGGTGTAAATCAGGAGGGAGGGGTGAGAGGGAAGTCTGAATAGCTCTTTGGTTAGCTTTGGTTAGTCTGAAGAGCACTCTAGCTAGCCTGAATGATGCTTAGGTTCACCTGGTTTGTCAGGTTTGATGTTCCCAAGTCATAACAATTGAAAACAACCTAAAGATACCAGTAGAATAGAAATGGAGAAACAGATATTATCAATAAATTAGAACACTGCAGCAAATTTGGTATATAATGAAGTAAATCAAATTCAAGGTAGATTTAGGACTATCTTATAAAGTTTATGTATCAGTAATGTCTTAATTTAATACTTGTCTACTTTCTCAGATCCCAGATTAGTTCTTTGGTAAAGGCATGGGAATGGAATAAAGATGATTGCATTATTCACTGTCTTCCTCTCCATCACATCCATGGCATAGTAAACGTTCTTCTATGTCCTCTTTGGGTTGGAGCCACTTGCCACATGCTGCCCAAGTTTACACCTGATCAGGTAAGGTCAATGTAGAATGTATCTGACTCAAAAATCCCGAAAATAGTCTCCACATAGCTACACAACCAAGTTAAACACCGTCAACTGCCATGCATGTTCTTGATTTTCCCAAAGGTGAAATGATCAACTTCTTCACCGTACCCAAATTTGCAATCAACCAATCAGAAGCTGTGTCTACTGTCCTGATATCCTGGGATATCAAGTCACTGACAGGATATGGCAATGATATCATGGCCACTTGGCCAAAT